ATATATATATATATATATATATATATATATATATATAAATATAAATATATTTATATAAATATATATATATATATATATATATATATATATATATATATATATATAATGTGTGTGTGTGTGACAATATTTCTGGAAATAAAGTCTGGCATTTTTGCCATCGAACTCAACAATTTTTTTTCTTTCCTTTTACATTTCAGCATTTTCAATTTTTTTATCTTTTCGGCGGAATATACAAAGGATTTCAAATTTGTCGTAGCTTTCAAAATTCTAAAGATATAAGCACAATTCTCATGAGTCTATGTATATACATATCCAAAGCAAAAAAATCGTGTTTTCCAAAATAATTCCTCAGCATATATATATATATATATATATATATATATATATATATATATATATATATATATGTGTGTGTGTGTGTGTGTGTGTCTGTGTGTGTGAACACTTTTTCTTTTACAGTGGGCGGTAATAATACGTTCTTTCTTACCAAAATCTGAAGAAGTTAAAGATCACATTTACTCGATGACGTTGACCCTATGGCACTTCACGATTGTACAGTTTGAAATATTCTAAAAACGGACATAAAGGATGGATATATTAAAAGAAAACATGTATTTATTTTTAAATATCGACTTCTTATCATTTATGTTTGGAAAAATACATTTGTGTACGTATGTAGACATGCATGTATTAATATTCATGGAAGCTTGAACATAAATCAATTGTGAATAATTTATTGTTAACTATATGGTCATAAACCTATAATATTATCAATATACTGTATAACATCATGTTACATATTATACTTAGAACCACATCTACGCAAAGGCAGCTTATGAAATATGCATAATTTAGAATTATCATGGTTTATAACTGTGATAATTTTATGTAATAATTACCACTCTTACAAATGTAATCAGTTTCTTTTCATTCTTTGATACCGTCCGTGGCATATAGTTGAAACTATTTTGACACATTAAAAAATCTACTACAGGGCTTGGTGACTTATGCCTTGATGGTATGGTGCCGGGGAAAAGAAGTACAGCCAGACAAAAACAGAATCGAAGAGATAACATATTCCTATGGTTATCAACCAATGAGCTGCGGTTACTATAAATTGTAATAAATGATGGGAAAATAAGTCATGTCACTTCCTAATCTATTGCAGGCGATTAGCGGTGAATGTTTATAAATAATATGTTTATTAATTTATACTTCTGTTTCAACAATATAAAAAATATATCATTCATTCATGGAGTCCATTTCAAAACTACACAGAAAATATTACATCATTATTTTTACTCGTCTCCAGTTGTTATCCAGATTGGTTCCAGATGAATTAATTTCGTTGGCAATTGCCATATGTCCAAAACCTGTGGTCAGATATTATAGACACTCTATCAGCTATTAGTATATCCAAAAGTAAATCCGTTAAAGAGGTCTTATCCTGTGTCTAGCCTTAGTTAGGAATAACTTCAAATATCTGAGGCATTTTAAAATTAAAGGTTTTTTTTAATAATTATTTAAGAATTCCTGGAGAGAGCTTAAGTATGCATCTGGCAAAACATTATTTTGGCGAATAATTAATTTGATTCCTGATTATTTTTGACGTTATTTTTTGTAATTGGAATCGGTGTTTGTGGGGAAGCAGTTAGATTAGGGTTTCTTGATAGACTTTTTACAAGAAGGTAGATATTTAATGGAGGGGAATAACTGCCCGGGGTTTGTTTCTATACGGCAAGCATTTCATCTCCCGTCCTAAAGATAGACCAACTTCCAATAATATTTTTTTTAATCTGGAACTTCGAAAAAATTTAACTTGTTAGAATGGAAAATGTGACTGATATCACTATCAAAGAATAAATGGACATAGAAATGAATTTCTTCTCTTGGTTGCTTAGATGATGTGAACAGACACGGAAATATAAATTTACTCTAATATCATTGTTATTTAACTCGTTACCAGTTGTTATGCTAGTGGAATCTGATCAACTGTAGTCTAGTCAGATCACTTGTTGTGCGTCTAAATATTATAGCCGTAGTCGGATGTTATAGTCCAGGGGTCATCAAACTACGGCCCACGAGCCGGATACGGTCCCTGATGTCAGTTCATCCGGCCCGCCGTTTCACTGTGCCACAAATGGGCTAAAATATAATTATTTATATGGAATTATCAGTAGATTGTAGTTAAACTTATTATGTAGAAAAAAATTAAATTAAATATAAGTAAAATGCCAAAATTTGGCCAATCTGATTTTTGCATCTGACTATAATATAAGTTTTAGGAAAATCAGTGAACTTTTGATATCTAAGCGCTTTTTGTGTAAGTATCTGCAATGAACTTTCTAAGAAAAGCGATTACGAGCCTGCTGCAGCAATTCTGTTTTAAGTTCCATTGCCGTGTTTAAACCGGTTTGAAGAGTGTTGTATATAAAAAGGACTGACTTAAGCGAATTATGTCATATATTATGCCTGAACTTATTATAAAATATAATGCAAAATCAGATCATGTAACGAGGTTGACTGATGATCATTTAAAAGCATTTCTCTTGGTTGGATGCAGTAACAGCAAAACAAATATTAATTATTCATATATATATATATATATATATATATGATATATATATCATATATATATATATCATATATATATATATCATATATATATATATATATTATATATGATATATATATATATATATGATATATATATATATATATATATATATATATATATATATATATATATATATATATATATATATATATATATATATATATATATATATATATATATATATATATATATATATATATATATATATATATATATATATATATATATATATATATATATATATATATATATATATATATATATATATATATATATATATATATATATAATATATATATATATATATATATATATATATATATATATATATATATATATATATATATATATATATATATATATATATATATATAATATATATATATATATATATATATATATATATATATATATATATATATATATATATAAATATATATATATATATATATATATATGATATATATATATATATATATATATATATATATATATATATATATATATATATAATATATATATATATATATATATATATATATATGATATACATGTATATATATATATATATATATATATATATATATATATATGTATGTGATATATATATATATATATGATATACATGTATGATATATATATATATATGATATATATATGATATATATATATATATGATATATGATATGAAACTTGTATAAAATAGGATTTACCCAAATACATAATTAATAAATTAATATATATATATATATATATATATATATATATATATATATATATATATATATATATATATAATGTATGTATATGTATATATATATATATATATAATGTTGACTAAAGATTTATTAAAATTCTAAATAAAATTTTATACTTTCCTTAACAGCTATATACTATATATTCATAATTCATAAGTTATATTTATTATAATTATTTACCCGTTTTTTTATTTTTCTCACAAAATTTTTCATTTATTGTTTATTTTCTCATATTTAATCATCATATTAACATTTGATTTACTATACGAAAATATCGTTGATTTGTTGAGCTGTATATTTTAAAATTCTGATTTAATTAATCGTGGGCGTTTTGTATAGCAGATTCGATGTGGTAACGATTTCCCTGAACGTTTCCAGGTGTGTTTTGTAAATGCTCACGTAAAATAGCGAAACGTCAATACAAAAATAAATAAAATTCAACATTACACTTTTTTCAAATAAAAACTGCATGTATTGCAGCCACAGTAGCAGTCTGGTTTGAATTCATAGATTTTTTTCTTCTCCTAGAACAGTTTCGATCCAAAGCTACAGAACCGGGTCAGTCCTGCTATTTAACCATAGCTGGGTGGGGAGAAAAGAGACGAATTTTAACTTTCCCAAGGGTATTTGTACGTAAGTGAATATAATGTAATGAAATCGACAGAAATTTGAACACGGCACTACATTTCTCCAAATCTGAGACGCTATACCTTACTTCTGGTACACATTAAAACAAATTGTCCAATGTCTCAGTACCTATCGCTCTCATGAGCCGTTATAAAAGAACTGAGCTTTTTTTTTATTATCATTTTCAAATATCACGTCTTCATGTCTTCACGTGAGAGTTCGTGCGACCGTGTCGGTTTTGTTTTTTGTTCTGTTTTTTTTTTTTTATTTAAATACAAAATTTATCTAATATATTTCTCTTTTATGAATAATGCTTCTTGTATTGGTAGTCTCTTTTTTTTCAGTTTATGCGGTGTTGTTTTTTGAGTTATTAGTAAGGATTTATCGGAATTCTTGTGTTTTGTTCTTGTGTTGGTAGGTGATATGCGAACTATTAGCAAATAAATGACATGTTTATCGGCGCGATAATCTAGTGTTTGTGTGACAAATGTATGCGCAAATTCTACGAGTGATTTCAGAGCCTAAATTTATAGATCATTCTTCATTCGACCTCTAGCTCAAGTCACCTCACATACGCGCTAAACCTGGAAGATATATCACACTTCAGGTCAAGTGAATAATAGGTCGTTCGAAAAATAATGTCCGATTTTACAATCAATATTTATTCCTGAATTAATGCTTGTAAACATTGGTTAAATATATCAAAATAGAAAGCCGGGATATCTACAATGTGATTGAAAAGTAAATTTATATTTCATGTATAATGTACACTCCCGTCTTATAAAAATTATGGTTAGATGGGAGAGTCCATCATACATAAAATAGGGAGTTGCTTTTCAATCACCCTGTATACATATGTCTTTACGTTAAGAATCTAAACGTTTGGACGCCAAGAAAACTTTAAATGCAGTTTCTGCATCTTCTTTGCAATAAAATGTCTTTTGGTTTAAAAAATTGTCAAGTGGCAGTCAGTGGGCCAGAGATATGAACATATTCTGTTAAATAGATAGATAGATATGAACATATTGAGATAGATAGATAGATAGATAGATATGAACATATTGAGATAGATAGATATGAACATATTGAGATAGATAGATATGAACATATTGAGATAGATAGATAGACATGAACATATTGAGATAGATAGATAGATAGATAGATATGAACATATTGAGATAGATAGATAGACATGAACATATTGAGATAGATAGATAGATAGATAGATATGAACATATTGAGATAGATAGATATGAACATATTGAGATAAATAGATAGATATGAACATATTGAGATAGATAGATCGATAGATAGATAGATAGATAGATAAATATGAACATATTGAGATAGATAGAGAGATAGATAGATAGATATGAACATATTGAGATAGATAGATATGAACATATTGAGATAGATAGATACATAGATATGAACATATTTAGATAGATAGATAGAAATGAACATATTGAGATAGATAGATATGAACATATTGAGATAGATAGATAGATAGATAGATATGAACATATTGAGATAGATAGATAGATATGAACATATTGAGATAGATAGATAGATATGAACATATTGAGATAGATAGATATGTACAGATTGAGATAGATAGATATGTACATATTGAGATAGATAGATAGATATGAACATATTGAGATAGATAGATATGAACATACTGAAATAGATAGATATGAACATATTGAGATAGATAGATATGAACATATTGAGATAGATAGATATGAACATATTGAGATAGATAGATAGATATGAACATATTGAGATAGATAGATAGATATGAACATATTGAGATAGATAGATAGATAGATAGATATGAACATATTGAGATAGATAGATATGAACATATTGAGATAGATAGATATGAACATATTGAGATAGATAGATAGATAGATATGAACATATTGAGATAGATAGATATGAACATATTGAGATAAATAGATAGATATGAACATATTGAGATAGATAGATCGATAGATAGATAGATAGATAGATAGATAAATATGAACATATTGAGATAGATAGAGAGATAGATAGATAGATATGAACATATTGAGATAGATAGATAGATATGAACATATTGAGATAGATAGATACATAGATATGAACATATTTAGATAGATAGATAGAAATGAACATATTGAGATAGATAGATATGAACATATTGAGATAGATAGATAGATAGATAGATAGATATGAACATATTGAGATAGATAGATAGATATGAACATATTGAGATAGATAGATAGATATGAACATATTGAGATAGATAGATAGATATGTACATATTGAGATAGATAGATATGTACATATTGAGATAGATAGATAGATATGAACATATTGAGATAGATAGATAGATATGTACATATTGAGATAGATAGATATGAACATATTGAGATAGATAGATATGAACATACTGAAATAGATAGATATGAACATATTGAGATAGATAGATAGATAGATAGATAGATAGATAGATAGATAGATAGATATGAACATAGATAGATAGATAGATAGATAGATAGATAGATATGAACATAGATAGATAGATAGATAGATAGATAGATATGAACATAGATAGATAGATAGATATGAACATATTGAAATCGATAGTTATGAACATATTCAGATAGACCGGTAGATAAACATGAACATATTGTGATAAATATGAACAGATTGTCATAGCTAGATAGATAAATACAGACATATTGTGATAGATATGAACATATTGCGATAGATACATATATAGATAGATGTGAATATATTGTGAATAATGCATATGAACATATTGTGATAGATGTAGAAAAATATTCTGATAGATCGATAAATATGAACATATTGTGTTAAATAGATATGAACATATATCAATAGATAGAAAGATGAATACATAGAATAACAGGAACGTATTGTACTAGAGTGATAGATATATAGATAGATAAATATGAATATTTGTTGTGATAGATACATAAATATGAAGATATTGTGAAATAGATTGATATGAACATATTGACACGGATAGACTGATAAATATGAACATGTAATAGATAAATCTCTATATATATATATATATATATATATATATATATATATATATATATGAACATATTTTCATAAATAAATATGAACATATTTTGATAGATATGAACATATTGAGATAAATAGATATTTGGATTGTTAGATAGGAACATATTTAGATAGATATATAGGAACATATTGAAATGGATAGTTTTATATATAGATATGAACATTTTGAGTTAGATACATGGATATGAACATATTGAGATAGATAGATAGATGTTCATCCTCTGCATGTGGAGATGACATTGACTTTGAATCACTGGGGGCGAGGTGGAGGCGGAGATGACTAATGTATCCGATGTTCTTCCCTGAAAAGCCTGCTGCATTTGTGATATGGGATGCTGGGGGATTAACCAAGCTTGGAGCTGGAGCCGTCTCGATATTTTTCTTTTCTGTCGTCTCTGTTCTTGATTCTTTTCTCTTCACAATAAGACACTTCGGACTTTATAAAGGAGCACCAGATGGCACCGTCCTCAGCAGACCCTCCCCAGGTAGACCTGGGGAATGCCACAGTGCTTGAGATATCCCATTCAGCGTGTCTTTGTAACATTTCTTTGGTCTGCCGAGTGAGCCCTTGCCTGTGGATAGCTCGCCATAGAGCAGTCTCTTCGGGAGAAAACAGGAAAAGGAAACTGTCACTCCCACCAGTGCTCCTCTGGGGCCAGTGAAATGAGTGGCTAGACAGCCTGATGAAAACAAAAACAAAATACATCAAAGGGCGTAGGCTCATGAGAGACATCAACAGGCATTTAGCAAATAGGAGAAGACTGGATCTGGCGGACTACGCGGACGAAACCACTCATTTGGTTCAACGGGCAAGAATACAGTCCCAACAACGCGTTTTAGAGCGCGATTAGGACACAGTGAGGCAGAAACAACACAGCTGGCCATCCACTGCATCCCTGGTTCATCTCCGGCCGTCTCGACTTCGTCGTGCCACGGGACGCAGATGGACAGGGATGAGAGAGTGAGGCTGTGCAACTCTCCTTCACTTAAATCCACTTCACGCGCAAGTCATGACTTCATTCCCATACAAACCCTTTTTCTCAAGTCCTGTGGCGATGGACGCTTGACCAAGCGACAGGTTTGGGCGTACTGGCAGTCGTAGTCACAATTCTACACGTAGTCGGCCCAGGCCATATGGAATGAGACAGTGCTTGAATTCGGCAGCCACCTGGGCGACGAAGCAACCCTTTTCATGATAGCACTGCCACAACATCCCCCCTGCCCGAAGCCTGAGGAAGGAACTAGAAAAAGAGTATTAAATATTCCCTGGCTCATCCTTCCCTGGTCGGCAGGCAGGGGTCCCATACCAACGGTAAGAACTCAAAATAATCAAAATCGACTACGGTGATGGCAGTCACCTTTGGTGCGTGGAATCTGCGCATCCTTTTGGACTGTGCAGTGACTGACCGGCCTGAGAGACGGATTGCCCTGTTTGCCATATATGAGATAGATAGATAGATAGATAGATAGATAGATATTAATGAAGATAGATAGATAGATAGATAGATATTAATGAAGATAGATAGATAGATAGATATTAATGAACATAGATAGATAGATAGATAGATATTAATGAACATAGATAGATAGATAGATATTAATGAACATAGATAGATATGAACATAGATAGATATGAACATAGATAGATAGATAGATAGATAGATAGATAGATATTAATGAACATAGATAGATAGATAGATAGATAGATAGATAGATATTAATGAACATAGATAGATATGAACATAGATAGATAGATAGATAGATATTAATGAACATAGATAGATATGAACATAGATAGATATGAACATAGATAGAAAGATAAATAGATAGATAGATATGAACATATTGAGATACATAGATATGATTATATTGAGATAGATATGAACATATTGAGATAGATAAATATAAATGTATTTAGATAGATAGATAGATAGATAGATCCGAGTACACACGTCTTCTAGGGCGGCAAGCGTATCCCTGTAGCAGACAACTGCTCAGGCTCATTTCGTGTTTGTTCAACACTCAACTGTGGTTTATGCTTCAGCTATTGTCTCAACTATAAATAATCCCATGGATAAATATTTATACCGTATAATATATATTTTGAGACTACTGAGAATAAGAAGATTGTTTAACGCAAATCTCGTCTCCACCCCAACTACCAAAATTGAAACCCTCATTATTGCTTGGCTTTGAACATTGACCAACAATGCAAGGAACAAATTTCATCACATCTTAGCCTCCAAACAATTCTTTGACGTTTGATAGACTTAGATAGATTGCTTTTGATGATGAAATGCCATCTACATTTTATCTATGTATTTGTCTATTCTTATATTGTCAATTACTTATCCGAATTAAACTAGGATTGAGTTAAACAGAAGAATTCAGTGAAACAGAAAGTAATTATTTTCTTAATGCACTTTAGCTATTTAGTCTTTGTATATCTTTCCTCTCCAATCCACTTCCTTTCTTTCTTTCCTTCTTTCTTTCTTTCCTTCTTTCTTTCTTCCTTTCTTTTCTTCTTTCTTTCTTCCTTTTCCCTCTCTCTTTCATTTTTTTCTTCTTTATATCTTCATCTAAACATCCTATTTCAAAGTCTTCTATGCCGATATTATGCTTCTTATTTGTTTTTCTTTTTCTACAATTATTTGATTGATTTCATTGTTCGTCTGTTCAGTTCGTAAAATCACAAAACTAATTTTCGTTTTCATTACCAACAATAACAGTAAAAGCCTAAATTTAACTATACACGTTTTTATTTCTCCATCATCGTATGAACTGTATTTCTTTAAGTGACCTTTCTTAAACAAATGTCACTGTAAAAAGGAATAACTGATGGAAAAAAAGCAGGAAATTAAACCGAGTTTAAAACATTGATAGTTTACGTTCATACTATTTTATTCTAAAGAGTATATGAACAGCTTAGTGGTGAAGAGACTGTCGAGCAGCATTGACGACATACTTTTTTCAAATATGCTATTTCATGGCTTTGAAGTAGGCATCAGCATTTTCTTTAAGCTTAGAGAAGAATGAAGATATTTTGTTTTCTGTCGGAGGCCACGATACCAAGATCATGGTCTAGGGTGGGTGCTTGGCCCTGAAGGTGCCCTTGACATCACTTCGAATCCGCGAAATCTTTTTGGTATTTCAAAACAGTATCCACTGTGTAGATTTTTTGCCAGGAAATATTTTAATAGTGGCTCTCTATTATTTGAGGCACCTAAACACTGTCTAGTGTTTTTTCCAACCCTCTTGTCCTTCATGGACCCCGTAAAGACGTGCTTTGTTCTCCTGTCGAAAATCTTGTTCTTGCCTCACCCGCTACCGGCTTAATCTAGATGCTGCTACCGATGTTTATGGACATATGGGACATTGTTGACAGTGCGAAGGGACACAGCACCTAAGTTAAATGATTAAGTCGTTTTCTACGGTTTGTCAACCCTTTGCAGGTTATTTAAGGCCAGAAAATATTTATTGATTATAAGAATATATTTTGAGCTAATAATGTTTTAAGTGGTACAATTCTTACTAATTAACTTAAGGGTGGGGGGGATATTTGCGTGTAAGTGAATATAATAAACCCATCAAGAAATGGAACTTGGCTCTCCGATTAACAATTTCGAGCCATTATCCATTACACTACCTGCATATCCAAACTTAAAGCACTTGTTATTCCTAAGTGATCACCCATCTAGATACCGACAAGTCTCGACGTTGCTTAACTTCTGTAATATTAGGAAAACCGGTGTTTCAACGTGACGTGGTCTTAAGCACAAGTTGAGAGTAATTTTAAGGTTGACTTGTGCGTAAAGCAAATCTTTTACTCTTTGTCGTTAGTCCTTCTATGAAGCCATTTTCAACAATATTCCTGAAAAATATGTTTTTATTAAAGATTAACAATATATATATATATATATATATATATATATATATATATATATATATATATATATATACTAGCAGCATGGCCTGGCGTTGCCCGTGCTTGATTTAAAAATCGTACGACTCATACTGCAATCGCTATCACTTGACTTAAAATATTTTGCCTTTCCTTGCCTTTAAAGGAGTGCCCTTTGCCATGCTGATGTTGCTACATGCTTTACTTCTTGTCTATCTCACACTGCGAATTTTTTCTAAGCTCTATACTAAACATTAAATCTGTTACGAAAAAAGAACTAAACAAAATGAACACAAAACGATCAGCTTTAAAAAAAAGGACTCGTAACTGGAAAAACCGAATGAAAAAAGAATGTTAACAACAAATACTTTTCCACACCCAACCCAGTTCTGCGGAATCAGAATCCCCGACTTCGAAGTTTCTTGTAAATGTCCATTCTTCAAGGTGACTGTTGTTTCAATAAGCTTATTTGATTTTTTTCCATTTTTTTCGCGTCTTTTTTTAATCCGTTGTATACACGCGCACGTTGATGAGTTTAATTAGTTAATTAGTAATTAAAACTCATGAAAGTGCACGTGTACATAACAGATTAGAAAAAGACACGAAAAAATTAAAAAAAAAAAGAATGAAAATAAACTTATTCAAACAACAGTCCCCTTGAAGAATGGACAATTCCAAGAAACTTCGAAGTCGGGAAAGCAATATTTTACAGTAACTTTAACATATTATCTATGCTCTATTTTTAATATTAGTATTATTTTAATATTTTTAGTATTGAGCACTCTATGAAATTATCTGCTTTATTTTTTAACTATTATATTCTTAAATCATTATATATATATATATATATATATATATATATATATATATATATGTGTGTGTGTTTTGTGTGTGTGTGTGGGTGCATTAAAGAGAAAAGAGAAGCATCACACGTTTTTAGTTATAATGTAGATTTTTTATATATCATACTTTATTTACCATATTTTTTGTTACACGTGTTTCGGTACTTGTGACCAGTATCAGGCGAAGAATGGTTATTTACATATATTTTTTAAAGGAATTAATTTTTTTCTTATGTTTAACCATTGTCTTTTGTGTGTGGTAGTAATCCAAATTCTTCTTGGACTGACAGAAAATATTCCCTTGCTTGCTTGTTAATAAAACAATTGGGATTGGTCAGAGAAAGGGAGGGAATGAAGTCATTGTTCTTATCTTTTTATGTCATCTTTTTAAACATTTCTTCATTTTTATGCATTGTGTGTGGGTGTGTGTTTTTAATATATATATATATATATATATATATATATATATATATATATCTTCTCTATGCATATATTTTGTTTTATTAAAAGGAGATACTATATATGCATACACACTTTGTATGATGTGTAGGGTTCGTGTGTTTGTGTGTGTGCATGTGGTCTGTCTAGTGTGCTTGTTTTTGCTAGTATGTGTGTATATATTCGTTCTCCATATATATATAGTATGTATTATATTATTATAATGAAATCTATACAGTAACTACGTGTGTGTGTGTGTGTGTGATCCGACTAGTTTTTGCTATTGTGTGTATGATATCTGTTTATGTATGTGGTGTTATAATTTGTTTAGTGCTGGCTTAAATTTGTCTATGAAGTTTTTTCTCGTATTTGTAGGTAATATATATATGTGTGTGTGTGTGTGTGTGTGTGTGTGTATTAAAAAGAATAGGCATTTTGTATTTAGAATTTTTTTCTAATATGCGAATAACTTTTTTTTACAAATGTGGCTGTTAATGAAATCATGGAACTTAAAAAAAATTGAAAAGAAAATCTGTTTTAATGTCCACTTTTCAATGAAATATTATTTTTTTTAATTTCCCTTTCTAGCTGTACTTATTGATTATAAAGATCATAATTTTACTATTTTCCCCCGTATAAAAAGTCATCCAGTTCCAAGTCTTGCCTTTTAGATCACAAAAAGTAAATGACCTGAAAGATATAAATTTGTCATCATTATTCATTTAATCTAAAACGCTAAATTAATCTTCTCATCTTAGACAATTTTTCTTAACGAACTGAGTAACGTAAAGCAAACATATATTAACAATGATTTCCATTAAGCAACAATGATTTTAACATAAATTCCACTTCTAAAATACACATTTACTCACACTCCTGACTCGTGTGAGTCGAATCCTTGGATCTTGTACAAATTTTGGCTACTTTTTACATTTACAGCAGTCACAGTTTCAAAAAGTTATTCGTATAATAGTAATAACATGTTTATTCTCTTTACATACAAGAAAAATTTCTGCCAAAGTATACAGAATACACACACACACACACACACACACACACACACATATATATATATATATATATATATATATATATATATATATATATATCAGAGGGCTCAAGTCATGGTAGAGCTTTGCAGTATTAGAAGTAGTAGTCATTGTTTACAACTTCTCTCCAGAGTGCTCGACCGGAATTAAATCTTCCAGGGGCGTATAATCGTCATCCATAGACAGACTATTTCGCTGTATCATAGCTCATCTGAGTGGCTAGATATCCGACTGCTTCAAGCCAGGATCGAAATCCGACTGATTTGCTACCAATCGGAATTTTTGCCCCTAAGCTATCAGCGCCCGGTAGAGAGGATATATATATATTTGTCCTGGGTATGACGATAAACTACATTCGGGTGCAAGGCCTTTTGATAGGGAGATTAGTGGCTTTGAGGAGCGTGGAACCA